GGGAAAGAGGAGTTAGGGTTTGGGAGAATCTGGGAGGCAGAGAGAGGGGAGAGAGGAAGGCGTCTAGGGTTTAGAATGCGGAGGGGAAGGGATCTGAGGTTTTAGAGAGAGAGAGGGGGGTTTAGAGAGAGAAAATGGGGGTTAGAGAGAAAGTGGAGTTTTCTGGTGTTTGGGTGAGCAGAAAACGAGGGAAGGAGGGAATTTTAGTTCGGATAGATGTGGAGGGAAGCACAGCGGAGAAAATTAATTTGTTGTGTAGTTTTCTACTTTGGCCCCTCATACTTTTTCGTAATTGTGTTGTGGCCCAGACTTCCTTTTTTCTTTTAGGAATTTTCTTTCATCACTCTTTCTCCCATATAATTAGCAACATTTTTTATTTAATGTAGCTCCAACTTCAAACTCTAGATAACGAGGCACATGGTTTAGCTTTAGGTTTTATCAATATTGTGATTTTTTATATTATTTGATTCAATTCGTTAATAACAAATACATTCATTCTTGAAAAAAAAAAAAAAGTCAGATATTGAGGTGTTTTAAACAAGTTTTCAAGAGCTTATGATTTTAAGAGAGCATAGCATAATTGCAAACAAAAAAAAAACCAAAAAATAAAATAAATCGGTATTTACAAAATATAAAGCTAAAAGTAATGTTTTTGCTCAATACAACAAAAACTTTATAACTTATTCCCAATGCTTTTTTCTTGATTCTCTCTAGCATCAAAAAAAATATTAAAAGAATTAAAAAATAGAGACTTGAAAGCTAGAGTTGGTCAAGCTATTTAATTTATTCAATTTCTCATCTAGTCTTAGCATGTGCACAATAGGAATGAGAAAGCATTCCTATTTCAAAATTGAGAAAATCAGATATTGATTCCCAAGCAAATGGCGTATTTTTTTTTTTCCCATAACATAATAAATAAGTTGTACATGGACGGTTTTTTAGACTACAAGTTCATTTGCAAACCATGAATCTAATAAGAAGTAACTTTTTTATATGACACTAAAAAAAGTTCAAGGATAAAACCAGTTTTGATTTTTTTTCCATGTCAGTTACACAACTGTAATTCATTTGCAAATTATGAATCAAATAAGAAATAATTCTTTTTTATATAGCAGAAAAAAATATTTCAAGGATAAAATCGGTTTTGATGTTTTCTTGTGTCACTACCGTATTACATCATTTAGATAAGTACAATAATTACCGCAAGTTATTATCATATCATTATTAGTAATTATATATATTTTTTATATATAATATGAGATTTTAAACACGCAATTTCTGTTTGAACTCTCTTGCGGATGTCACTAGACTAAAAGGTCTTAGGCGAGTAACATAGACTTTGGATAATTATTGACTCATAGAAGTGACAAAAAAAAATTTTAAATCGTTTATATAAAATAATTTATTTCATTTATATATATATATATATACACATATATACACATATATACATACACATAGTAAAGCGTTGCTGGTAGAAGGGGCATGTATGGAAAGAAACGAGAAAGTAGAGGCCTTTAGATAATTAGCGAAAGCATGATTGCAAACTACACAAAAAAGATAAAACTCTCGGGCAAGTACCGCAACTGGATTATAATGGAAGAAAAAGTGGAAATAGAAAGAAAGCAAGTAAATTCCAAAAAAAGAAAACAAAAACAATATTGTAAAGAATCGCCAATAAGCGCCATATTATTATCTATCTTAATCAATTTATAATTATTTGGCACCCATTTCTGGTCTTTTTAACTGTCGTTTTTCATCTTTTTCTCGTCAAACGCTCAAAGGCTCACCAAAATTTGCTTCTCCATTTTCTCTCAACACACAGTTATGTTTGGCAAAAGAAAAAAAAAAAGAAAAAATAATTTTATGAATTAAAAAAAAACAAAATACATCATTTCGACCCTATTAGGGTAATTTTTGTTCTTCTTGTTTCTAAACGTAAAACAATCAAAATCAGTCTAAAATGCTAATAAAGTTGTGCGTGTTTAATGTGTTTAGCTTAAAAGGGCTGCTTTGCTTGGAGATCTTTTTCCCGGTTTGCTACACACATTAGATGATTTTCAACTTTCATAAACAATAAAATTCCGTATCTATATATTTTAATAACATTATTAGATACATTGAGATGTTAAGAAATAAATCTTAGATTTTTTCCCTTCCCTTCCTTGTGAATTAAGTAGAAAAAAGAGATAAAACAGCAAACGAAAGCTGCTAAAATCCATCGCTAATCTTGCCATGTGCACTTATATTTAAAAATTCATTATATTATTAACACCAGAGAGAACAAAATAAATATTGGGGGCTAATCTTGCCAGTGGCCACCAACCAAGGAAAAGAGGAGAAGGTAAAGTAAAGCCACTAGCAGTAGTTCGGACTCAATACTTTTTCTCAATGTTTTTTGAATTCTTTTGTTCAAGTTTTTTTTTTTTTCCTCGTAAATTAAGTTTTTCTTTTGTGCTAAAAGGCAATGAGTTTATAGATTGTCCGATGATACTAATCGCAACTCTAGTCTTGTATGATCCAATAAAATGAATGGAAAGTTACCCAAACATTTTGTCCATAAAAACTAAAACACAAATCAAACATTTACACACACGCATACATAATATATGAGTTTATTGGTGCATTCATTTAGATGTTCGATTTCGAAAGACGGTAGACGTCTATTCCCTTTAAGCATTTCATTTTGAGTTTATTGGTGAAACCAGTTGTTTGTCAGGATTGTGGTTTTACTGTAGTTTGAGATTTTTGTATCAGGATTAGTGTTTGTATTGCCTTGATTTGGAAATATATTCTCATTGTCAAAATAATAATAAAAATGTAGCATAATTAACAAGTGCGCTAGCGCGATGGGACAATAATAGTATGGTGTTCAATGGACTGTTATTTGCAAAAATTCCGTAAGCGTATGATGTCAAGTTTTATAGTAAAAATGGTGAATAAGGTTATTATCTCCACAGAGATGTTATCAAATTTTTACTAAGTATTGTAATTATAATATTCCTAATTTTATTTAGAAAATCAAATCAAATAAAATTGCAAGAATTAAATAAAAATAAAAGACTAAGAAATTAATACAAACTCAAGAGTGCAATGGAAGGAGAAATCAATATATGTAAATACTAGAGGTTTGGCTCCACTTAACCATCAATTATGCTTCTCAGTGGCATTGTATTACTAATTAATTTTCTTAGTGCCAAGAATCAAAAAAATATTTCAACTCCCTCTCTCTCTCAAGTGTCAAGTAAGAATAATTCATAAATTCAGATTTCAATATCTGTTGGTTTCCGAAACGATTTCGGATGTGGAAGCGTGTATGTTCGGATCGTGTATAATAAAAACTTTCATAAAATTTTTAAATACTCTATAGAATATATTAATTTACACAATAATTAATTAATCATATTAATTTATAAATATAGATACTTAGCAATTGATTAGGTGGATAACTTGACTTTTTTTATCACGAACGGTCTAAGCTCGAAGCCTTCTTAGAAAACCCCAATCTTTCTCGTCTAGTCTTTGAAATCTGCAAGACTTAGAGTGTGGGCTCTAATATAGAACTATTCGGATTTGATTACTCACTAATTTGTGTTTCTCCACCATCAACGCATGTATGTGAAAGAATTGAGAATTGAAAGAACTTTTCTTCTCTTTTTCTCTCTCTAAGAATTCAACCACTATAGGAGTTAGAGAGCAAAAATTATGCTCTCCAATTTTCTATTTTCTCCTATTTATAGAATACTAGGAAGACCCCTTTGCTTTAACTTGAAGGCAAAGTAATAGACAATTGATTATTACTTTATTTTAAATCTCATTTAAAATACAGTTTCCCATTTAATTTTTGAAACAAAATTCTCTCCCTTCCCTGTATGTTATGGCCGGCCACACCATAAGGAGATCTCTCGTGGTTAGCGCAAATTGCAGGCAGGAGAAGGAGAAAAAATTCATCATTTATCTAGTTTCTAATTTTAGCTCAAATTCAAATCTAAATAAAGTCAAAATTCACTTTCCTTTTGAATTTGATTGTGAAACTTGTCAAACAAGTAAACCAGATATCTTAGAGAGCAAGCAACTGAATTCCAGTGGGATTCACCATGTGCCACACGCCTTTATGCACCTCTCTGTGCTTGGGTATGCGGCCTTCTGTGGTCTCACCACAGTGTGTTGTAAAATTAATTTAATTAAATAATCACATTATTTATTCGAGTGATATTAAATCCCAATAATTCACATTGTCTTGCAAATATTACAAAGATAGCCCGGAGACTCATGGATCTATAATTCTGAGCTCCAATAAAATTAATAATTAATTAAACTATTTAATTAATTGATTTAATTATATTAATTTAAAAAGTTACTCCACTAAGAACTTGAAATTGCACTCTCGAAATTATAGATATAATTTACTTCTAAGAACTTGAAGTGTCCATTTGATATAGTCACTACATATAGATTCATCCTCCATAAATAATTCATAATTAGAGCTAGAGCTAGGTAAAATCCGTTAACATCTCTAATTACATCTTTATCTTTGAGTACCATTGATTCTCTAATGAATAGTATAGTCATAAAACACATTCATGAATACAAGTTTGTTACTTATTTAAGTACCGAATTAGTTCTCAAGGAAATTATTTATCTACTTCTTCAAGGAAGAAGGAATGAATTCTATCTCGTATATTAGCATTCTCAGCTATTTATTTCATCATGCTTCCAATATAAAAGGAATATGATTTAGGATTTTGAAATTTGTACCGAATAAGTCAAAAATATGAATGCATAAATAAGAGTACGTTAATAACTCAGAATTAAGATCATTCTATATATGACCATCGATAGACTCAACATTGATTTCCTATACTTAACGGAAATTATCTAGAAAATCAAATTGTGTCTATGTCCCAGTTCAATATAATCTTATTATGAATAATACACTCATTAAATATCCCTCTATATTAATGATGCGAATAATACGATTCTATTCTTAATGAGAATGATGTGTATTAGTAATGTTTCAATAAAAGATTCCGTAACTTTAATTAAATTCATTACGAACATTATTTCGATTATTATCCTTAAATATTATCCTCTCATATATAACACCTATATACAATATTTAAAGTTACATAAATAATTGTAAAATTTTCAATAATATTCATAAAGTATTAATAATACATGCACATAAATAATGAAAAAATAATTTTATTAATAAAATAATAAATATCATTTTTACATCTCATGCTTTAATGACACTGTTCCTAACAATATCCATATTCAAAATCAAGAAAATAAGAATTTATTACGATTCTTTCAAAAATGCTTCAAAGGAATCATTGGCCTCCTAAACTTTATAAAATCCTAGGTTGTGTTATTTTTAAGTCGCATCTAAAATTCTCTCTCTCGAGTGCCGAATTCTACATACCAAATCATCAAATTAATGGCCAACACAATTTAAAAGCATTAAGAATAAAATAACACAAATAAACCATGAAAATCCTCAATAAATAATTGGCAATCAAAATATAATATCAAGCATAGGCTACATCTCTCCTCTAGACAAATTAAAAATAGTTCATCATGAAATTAAAGAAAAACAAAAGCATGGCTCTAATCTAACAATATATGAAAGAGTCAAAACTCTTCAACCCCTCCAATTAGCTTCTTTTTTTATTTTTTTATCTTTATTTTTTTGTGAATTTTTTTTTTTACATTTTAAATTTTTTTGTGTGTTTTTTAAAATATGATGTTCCTCACTCAACTCCTATAAGAGTAATTTTTTCGCATGTGTTGTTATTTTATTTTTGGTTGGTTAAAATAATTTTCTTCGAATGTGTCCATACTTAATTTTTCATCAATTGTTTTCTTTACACATATTTCTTTTTAAAATAAATTCAAAAATTCTTAAATAGTTGTATAAATGAATTTCTCATTATTCGGTAAATAATAAACTCTTCAAATCTTTCTAACACAGCAATACATGCAGAACACATTACAAAACTAGTCATAATGGAAAAAGAGAGAAAAATGATTCGAAAGAGAATTAAGCGAGGCCGTCTCCAGAATTAGCCTTCTTCTCCGTACCAGAATTCCTCTTCCTCCTTCAAAATCTCCCAAGAGTGCAAAAAAAGTCCCTTTAAAAAGCCCTAAGAATGCCTATTTATAAGTTTTGAAGCAGAGGAGCAAAAACAAAGTAAGTTTCCCTTCAAAACCCAAAATTCTAAATTCTCAAAACCCAAAATTTTCAAGTCCCACTATTCATGTGTCCTGTCCAAGATGCAGAGCAACTAAAACGTCACCGAACCTACATATAAAACACTAAAACACACTTAAAATTCACAAAAGCCTTGAGAACTAACAAAATATCAGGCATAAATGGTACTTAATTTGTCAATAAAACTCACTCATCAACTGTGTTGGATCAATATATAAGAGTTATAGAACTGTGGACACATAGCAAGTCAAGGCATTACACGATAACACATGACTATGGCTTAATTTAGTGTTGCTGTAGATTTTGAAAAAAATTACTTTTAGTTGCGTTGAAAGAAAAAGCAGCTGAGTGTTTGGTAAACTATAATTATAGTAGCTGTGTTGATTACAAATCAATGTAACAACGTTTGGTAAATTATAAAGTTGAATTGCTGTGGATAGTTAATAATTACGACTATATTATATTATACTATACTATAATATATGTATAT